TTTTTTTGGGGGAAAAAAAGATGGGAAGAGCGGGTGCCGCACCAGCTGAGCGACGCAAACAAGGCAACACGAGTGGCAATGGCCGGAATTCTTCTTCGTCGCTCCAAGAACAGCGGTTTTTTCGACTCTATTATTACATCAAATGAGAAAAGGTCTGCTTCGCCGCTTAATCGTCATATCGAGTAAATTTTTATCTTATTTTGTTGGTTTATTATTTTCTCGCAGGACGCCTCCAAAACGGACTCCGAAACCTGATATACGCGGCAAAAAGGTGATGCTCCATGTTTGGTGGAATAGCAAAGGTTTGATGTACTTTGAAGTTCCGGAATCGGGTCAGACGGTTACGGCGGACATTGGCAAAAAAACACGCAACATTGAACCGCATGGATCCACACTCGCGCCAAAGTGTCGAAACGAACGGTCGACAAAAAATTTATCCACGACAACGCTCATCCACATGTGGCGAAAATCACTCTAGAAAAAAAATTGAGGAATTGGGCTGGAAAGTCCTGCCTCATCCGCCACACAGATCAGACCTGGCACCATCGATTACCATCTGTTCCGGTCGATGCAGAACTCCCTGGCCGAGAGAAAATTCACAAACCGCGAAAAAAGGCCTCCAACCTGGTGTCCAACTCTTAGTCGCAGCCACGGTCGCAGTTTCTTCAGAAGCAAGGATCCATTTTTGTCATAGAATGTTGTTCAGCACAAGTCACCTGATTACTAATGAGATTGTCTTTTGAGATTTATGTTCTACAACCTTAGCATGTTACGTCATGTTCGAGCTTCGAAGATCAAAAACTGTAGGCTATCTAAAAAACACTGACAGGACTTTCTTTCCAACCTATATAATTGTCAATGACATTTCAAACACGTCATTAACGTCGTGGTCCGATCCGTAATCTCACTTTTCGAAGGTTCACAATGAGAGAGAAGGGTGCTGCGGTAGTTATATACGGTACATTCGGCTCGCTTCACCCATCGGGGACGAGATATGTAGCAGTCGGGTGTCTGACAGTAGGACCACGCGGCGTCGCGCGCGACAAGAACAAGTACGAATGGTTATGATCGGATTCGGCCTGCCATATTAACGCGGCAGTGACATTTCACGGCGCTGTGGGGGGGGGCATTTTGCACTTTTGCTAACTTCCCATCGACGTGTCGACCCATCTAGACAGCCTCTTCTCGAGTTGACAGGTTTTACCATGATGGCTTGACGAGCTTGCTCCAGCTTCACAAGAGTTCACAGGTTTCACCAGAGTGAGACTTGTAAACCGGAACTAGCAGCGAAAGTGCAAAATGCCCCCCCGCCCCCGAAGTGCGCCACATTTCGCTGCTATTTTTTCAACAGGACAGTGTCAAAAGTCAGTATGCGACAGTTGTAATCATATCTAACATAAGTCGAACACAGGACAAGATGAAAGTTGTTTCAAACTGAATATCTCACGAGTTACCCATTCCGTGCCATGTCCTAACTCCGTCTCAGGGATTAAGAATGTACGACAATGACATGGTTTATCGCGAGATCGCGCTCCATTGCAGGCACGCAGTGTTTGCAGATTGCCGCGAGCGACATCGCGTGATTCCAACCGTTCGTCTTAACAGTAGTGTCTAAAAGCACAATCGTCATTCATTCTGCGAAGGACTTAGGTGTGACCTCCACCGTCCTTAGATCGCCCTTCCCTGCAGTCGTAAGATCCGATGCGATTGGCGCTGCTACGGTCACCCACTGGACAATTTACTGCGCATTTGTTCGTTGACTCACGGTAGGCGCGGTTTCCCAGCAGGATTTCCCCATACCTTAATCCTGTTAAAGTATTTAGTTACATACTTTGTTTTATTTTTCAGAACTTCACCCATTAAGGAGGCGAGAAGAAAAGTGTAAGCGAGAGGAGGCACATGGGCGGGAGTGTGTCGGTTTTCTGCGATGAAATGAGCAAACTCGGAGAACTCGTCCACGCACAGGGCCTCGTTTTGCGTTTTCAGCATTTTATTTCACTTTCTCCTTCACTATCAAGTTACTGACCACCCCATTTTCATGTAATATTACCATCGAACGGCAGTCGTGGTGCGTGTAAATAACATACTGGACCGCGTACTCGTGTCACTTCAGCACAGTAAGCTCTCTGCTCTATACACTATTAGAATATTGTGGTCTCTCGTAAGCTTATCAGATGAAACTTCTCCTCCGC